GGAGTTATGGAAGGCTGGTCGGCCTCACCAAATATCGATCCAGGGTTTGAACCCATGGTGCATGTGTGATAGTGCGCCACTTGCCACTGCACAACCTCTGCCCTGGAAGTTGTGATACAAGGAAGAAAATACTGGGGAATTACGCAGTTCATAACTACGTAATTTCCTAGTGCTCTCTTGCTAGTACCACTAATTTCCGTCTTTTTTTCCTCTATAAATCTCAGATTCTTTATGGCTTTCCCAGAAATTTTGCCTACTCCAAACTGAGGGTCATAGAGCTTCAAAAGTATTGAGCATCACATTTACGCTGGCACTTCAATAATGATTCCGTCCATTTTTATCAAGCTCTTCTGAATTACTATCCTCTCAAGATGTTATGAGTTCTTTGTACGCACATTTCGACTTCATTTCTGTTCTTTCTTATTCTCACTTTTAATATTGTATTTTTATTTGTCTGAAATTTCTGTATCTCAACTCTGTTATAGAGAATAGTCTTACAACTAGTTCACTTGCAGGACTCCAACGATCCTCAATCACCTCCAGCTTCAAATAAACGAGTGCTAGTGCAGTTTCTGAAGTGTCGTCGAATATCGGACTTAATTCGTGAAATCCAAATGTACCAGAATCAGCCATACGCACTCCAAGTAGAAAAGAGCATACGGGTTTGTTTGGTTCGAGTTTTTCATACCTGGCAGACTACAAAAATTCAATCTAGCAGCAAAATTAAGGCAATGGCGAAAGATGGATTAATTGTATAACTCGTTCTAGTAGCAAGGCAGCTAATGCTGATAAAGGAATAGCTGAAATGGCTGGCTGATTAAATTTTAGCGTTTTATTTATTCATTCATTTGTTTGATACATGATTACAACAACATTTTGCGTAGTGAGAAAGGGAAAGAACAGAATAAGACAGAACATCCAGATGCCATTGTTGATTGGCGTGAAGTGCTCAAAGAACTACAAGGTTGGCCCAATTTGGGTGCTTTTTTTATTACTTTCTCGTTTTTCTTAGCTACATCCATCTAACACAACATTCATCACTGTTATCCTTAACATAGTGCCAACGCTAGGTTAGTTAACTGTTCGATACCTCTCTGTGGAACTCCACTGTTTCATGGCCAAAAAAACACTTGGATGTTCGATCTGAAGTCTATTACTGTTAGAGTATGATTTTCTTCGGGGAAGAATTCTAAAGAGCGGAAGGCAGGTAATCGGTCGTTGCACGGTCAGGGCTATAGGATGATGGGGAGAGATTGTTCAACCAGAAGTCTCATCCTCCCGAATTTCTCTAGCAATGAGAGACGATACTTATATAAAAAAAGTTGATTCGGTCTAGCATTCCCTTCAACTTTATCAAAGTAGGAAACCCAACTCGCCTTCCCGTCATTGTGACATTGCTATGTTGGAGTTCCCAGTGAGCAACTCCTCTTGTGATCCACAAACACTGAGAAGAAAGTCTTTTGTATAAAGTTTGGCTTGTCCATTGGGAATCAGGATCGCGGTGCCGCTTGTCGCTTGTAGGGCTGGATGGCTAACGGTACCCACTCCTCATCGCCAAAATCCATGTTGGGTAGCCAGCCGAAGATACGCTGAGGAACGAAATGAACATAGCGGTATCAGATTGTGTTCAAAGGTGTTGAAAGGCTGAGCACGTTCAGGACACATGGACCACGTTTTCAGATTGCCGTATTCGAAACTGGCAGTTCGTTTGAGCCATAAAAAGTATCGAAATTTGAGTGCGAATCTTCTCCATGAAAAGGCCGTTGTTTTAGAATAAACGTGCTATCCGATCTCGT